CTTTCTTTGAAAAGGTTACTGCTTATGTAGATGAGGGTAAAGATGTAGATTCAGTGTATCAGGATTTCAGAAAGCATTTGACAAGATGACACATAAAAATCTTGTAAAAAAATAGCTCTATTGGTGTGGGGGATATGTTAGCAAATTGGATAGAGAGTGGCTGGATGGAAGAAAGCAGAGGGTTGTTATAAATGGAGTTCAATCAAACTGGATTAATGTCACAAGTGGGGTACCTCAGGGCTCAATCTTAGGACCTTTACGCTTTTTGATTTACATCAATGGCATAGATGAAGAAATAGTCAATATATTACTTAAGTTTGCAGATGATATTAAGGTCTTGGGCGTTGCTAGCTGTGAAGAGGATGCTGCTGATTTACAAAAGGATTTAGATCATTCAGGAAGTTGGGCAAATAAATGGCAGATGGGTTTTAATTATAATAAATACAAGATAATGCATGTTGGTTATTGTAATTTGAATTATATGTATAATTTGTATCTGAATAACCTTAATAGTGTTATGAAGGAAAGGGATCTTGGTGTAATAGTCGATCAGTCTCTAAGGCCATCCAAGTAGTGTACTGTTGCTAGTGGAAGGGCAAATAGGATTTTAGGTTTTATCTACAGAAATATTGAATATAAGTCTAAAGAGGTTATAATTTCATTGTCCAGGTCACTGGTTAGCCCACATTCAGAATATTGTGTTCAGTCTTGGGCTCCTTACTTTAGAAAAGACATTGAATTGTTGGAAAGGGTTCAGAAAAGGGTTACTAGAACGGTGCCTGGGAGAGATTGTCAAATGAGGAGAGGCTGAAATCTCTCAAATTATTTTCTTTTGAAAACAGAAGAGTTAGGGGGATCTGATTGAAGTGTTTGAGATTGTAAAGGGAATTGATAGTGTTGATGCATCATCTTTTTTCATATTTAACAGTGAGAATAGTAGGTCTAGGGGACACAAATATAAATTTTGGGAAGGTAGGAGTCATCTTCACCTAAGACAGCTTTATTTTTCTAACAAGGTGGTTGGCCTTTGTAATGGGTTGCCTTCAGACGTTGTAAATGCAGTAAATTTAAGTGAGTTTAAGAAAAAGCTTGATAAGTTTATGAATGATAAGGGCTGGCTTTAAGATTGTTTTTTAATTATTTTAATTTAGTTTAGAGAATGGAACAGCCGAGATGGACCAATAGGTCCCATGTTGTCCCAAAACATTATGTTATGTTAACAAGATATATCAAAAACTAAAAATATTTGCTTCTTTTCTGTACCTGGAGGAAATTTTAGCTGTTATTTGTACATATTTACTTTTCAAATATGATAGAATAATAGCAGATTATTTTACATAGAGCATACCTGGGCATTTGTATAGGCTATGTTTTGTTATGTATATGTTTCTAATAAAATTGACAGATAAGACAACACCAACTAACGTAACCTATTTTACCAGTGAAATTATAGTACACAACCTAAGCTGAAGTTCCAGTTACAGCTGACAGTTTGATATAAAGTGTGATACAGTAGTCCCTGATGGACACAACCCCTTCCAATAAAGACTTTTTTTCTGTGCACAGAATGATTTTACATTTATCTGACCTCCCATGAACAACTTCCTGACAAATGCAACATCTGACCATGATTTTTGGGCAGAAGGTTGAATAATGACCTGTCTATAACAACTTTTCTTCATATCAGTAATGTAATTTACAGAGACACATGAATATAGTGTATACATTATGGAACAAAGAGGTCACATGGCTGGAGTTTGCTTCACAACTTAGTACATGTATCTTGGTACCCCGGGGTGTTCAAGTCAAACTCCTTAATACATAGATATTTTGGTTTAGAAACTTTCAGATCCTGAAAGGTAACCAGGTGTGATCAGAAACTGTTGTTTGTCTTTGCCACGCTCACAGAATTAAGGTTTATTATTTTAATGAATGTAGTAGATTTTGAGCTAGTGGCCTAGACATTAAGTAACTTGATTAGTGTTTAATAGATTATTATCTCGTGGTTCATTGAATGACAGACTCGACTAATCTGTAAGCATGCGGTAAGTATGGTTAATGAAATGCCTCAAGGCTTCCGGAAAGCTGTGAATGTCTCAAACTGGAAACAGGAAGTCACTGTGAAGAAGAAGGCTCGAAGTGTTGATATATAAATGTGACGTGGACGTTGATATAGACCAAGGTTATGAAGAAAGCAACAAAATAAATGAAATATGGAAATTAGAGAATTTTAGTCAACTTGAAATTGTTTTAATGCAACATATTACATTTTATTTAGTATTTGTATTCAGAGAAGATTACCTTATTAGATATTGGCTAGAATCTAGCAATAATTTAGTTCAGATATATATTTTTATTTCTTCACTGGTCCTTTTAAATTCATGGAATTGACCCTTTTCAGATCTGGGATCCAAGTGTCAATGTGAAAATTTGGTTTAGGGTGGGGCTGTTTTGTTCATTTAAAATACACAGCTTCTCATGTTTGGTTCTTTGTTTAAAATTACAGTGTTTTGTATAAATATACTGTGGATATTTTGAGTTGCAGTAGTGGTAAACATGGGATGTTTTTATAATGTTCGGCGAATCTGAATTCCAATTTTCATCCAGTTTCTCTGATGTAGAATTTTGGACATTTATTGCACATTATTTTATGAATTAATAGTAGAATCATGCACTGTAAACTAACAACGAAATTCTTCTTGATATAATAACTGCCAGATTCGTGAACATTCAAAGTAACTTTGTTAAATGTGCAAAACAAACAAAGATGGATGATATTTTATAAAATAGATTTTGTCAGTTTGTAATATTTTATGTGTATGTAATTAAAATGTTATACATGGATGTTTATGAAATAAATGTGATTGATGAAAATAAATTATTTTACATAAAACACAAAACAATTTTAAATTATCTTTATTTAACTGTTATCCATCATAACTATTATTATACAGTGTACCAACTTGCTCTGTTATCTGATTATCTATACAGTATATAAATCATTATGCTTAATCCCTGGGAATAGCAACTGGCACAGCTTGAACTCGGTCATTTGTTATCTGGTTATTGATCCTTTGACTTCTGTAATGCACTTTCTAACTTCTTTTGTTGAATTCCTGGTGATTTCCATACAAAAGCTACAAAAAACATACAATGGGCACAGCACAGATAGCCCATTGTGTATTTTTCTGCTTAACTACAAACAGACAAACACTAGAATGTATGTGAAATATTTGAAATACCTGTATAAAATCATTAGATGAGATGTAAAAAGTGTTGTTTCTTACATTTATTTAGGTATTGGAGAAGTCTCTGAAGATTTTATTTACTACATATGATGTCACTGCTGTCAAACTATACGTTCAGAAGCAGTTTCAGAAATTAATTTCTGGGCGAGCAAGCATTCAGGATTGTATTTTTGCCAAAGAATATCGAGGATTAAGAGGATACAGGCCAGGAGCTCGTGTACCAGCATTGGAAATAGCACGGTACTAGTTTTTTCTATCAGAACTTACAATATGCACTGAATATAGAAAGTGAAGTTTTCTTTTGTTCTAACACAGTGGTATATGTGTATCAGCCACACCAGTTCTTAACTCGGAAGTAATGTGATGTGCCAGAGTTTTTCTTCGTGTTCAGGCTATGCATATAAGTTTGTTTTTAAAATCCCCATTTTATAACTTAAATATCATTTCTTTATATGTTTGTGCAGTTAAACACCCTCAGTAATAATTTGAAATGAACTACTAATTTTCATGAAAGACCATTTTTCATCAGATTTATATATATATTTTTAACAAATGTTTACATGCTATTTTTCAGTGTAAAAGAGAACATACTCCTATTGTAGGTTAATGAAATGAAAATATCCCAAAAGTGTGCCTACTTTTTTATTTATGCTTTATGTTATAAAGTGGGAATTATAGTGTTTTCCTGTCAAGAAATGTTATGAAAGCAGCAGAACATCACAAGGCTCTAAAGAATTCCATAATGTGTTGTATGCTAATCACAAGTGCTTTAAAAAAATATTTTGATATTCCAAGTTAGAAATATATCTCCCAATTATCCCTTTCCATACCATTACCCTTTTCTACATATGTCACAACCTTTTATAGAATTACATTCAAAATTTAATTAAACTACTTTATTATCAACATATACAAATAAACTTTGCATTGAAACTGGTTAATAATTCAAATTTTAATGTTATATATGTTTAATTAAATTCTTAATTTTATAAGGAAATATTTATAAAAATCCTCAATCTCCCCTAGTATGAAAATTGTGAGATTTGCTCTCTAGATGTCCCCCTTTTATCTAATTAATTTACCACTCCTCTGAGAAATATGGAATTTAACATAAATTACTCATTATACTATAGTGATTTCTTAGGCAAAGTATAATCTTTATAGCCTCCAATCTTATTTCTTTATGGAGCTATAAACTAGAAAATCAGACCCACTTGCCACATCCACTCTTTCATAAATTGCCAGTAGTTCTCTCTGACGTTTAATTTATAACCAACAGAAAGCCAAAGTTTTAATCTATCAAATGATGTATTATATTACATTGTTTTCTGTACAGAGAGCTGTCTATTTCACCACCAATTCGACACTTTATTTCCTTGGGAAACATACCAATAAGTTTAGCTGAATATTTAATGGCTATATCATGAAAAAAGTAATAATAATAAAAATTCTTCACAAGGTATGCTTGTGAGCAGCTCATGCGTTAAATAATTCAATACGGTAAAGTGAGCTGCACATTTGTCAAGGGATTTACAACTTGTGTGGTGGGATTATTAATTAGACACAGTTCAAAGGACAATAGAACAATAAAATAAAGTATACATAGATGTATCCTATTATGAGCTTTAAGCTATTTAGACTAAACATTTGTAGTTTCTTGTTATAATTTGTAGTCATTCAAGAAAGAAAAAAGTGTAATTTATATCTATTTCCTAATTTTTTATGGTGAGTAAGAGGTTGGTCAAATCGACTGACCCCATATAGAGTTTAGGTAGAGAAAATAACAGGTAAAACATAAAGCTTTTCTGAAATAAAACGTTTGATATATATTTAGGAGGTTTTAGAGATTACACAAATGAAATTTGAGAATTTTCAGATGAAGAAAAGTTTTTAATCTTAAAATCAAAATCGCTTTGCATGTTGGATAGCCGATATTTCAAATGCAAAATTTCATGAGCAAATCTTTAATTAAAGTACTTAATTAAAAAATATTATTTTTTTGTACAAAAGCCTCTTAATGTTTACTGTGAAATTTACCTTCTCAAAAGTTATAAGATGACTAATCTCATGGTTACATTGGTGGTTACACATTAGGTGCAATTAACGTCTCCCTTCAGAAAATAGTTATTTAGACTGGAAATGAGGAAAAGTTGGCCATAATACATATTATTAAGAACTTCTGACCAAACATAAGTAAATATTTTGTACCAAGTTAGCTTTGGATCTATGATTGTTGGCTACTGATAGCATTAGTGTCACACAAAAATAACCATCAGTATTGTAATTAATCCTAGTAATTACTGTTGAAGTTACCTATGTATTTTTCATAGAATTGAGTGATTTCACTAATACTTTAAATCAGTTATTTACACTGAGTGTTATAACAAGAAAAAACATAAAATTTCCCAATATTATGCAATATGTGGACCCCCACCATTAGCAAACAGTGTAAAAACAAATCAGTAATTTGAGGTTTAAAATGAATAATCTTGGTTAAGTTTTTTTTAATGTTCTGTTTTTTTTCTGTAAACAGTAATACTTACAAAAAAATACTTATGACCTTTATTGAAAAGTAGGTTGTTATGTTATGTTGAGAACAATTAAGAACTTCTTCAGTATCTTATCTTCCATTTTCAAGTAATTGACACTTAATCTATGTAATGGACAGTAACCTTCCCCAGAAGCTTAAAACTGTAAGGGATCATTTCAAAATATATTCCATGATTCCTAAAATGAACAATACCTTTCTCAGCCTTGCACTCATGGCTTTAAAAACATTTATTACACATAAAGAATAATTTTTAACATTTTGTAAATTATATATATTAAATATCTTAAGAAAAGTAACTAACTTATGGTATAAGTGATTAAGATAGTTTCTTATTTTCGATAGAACAAAGTAAATATTATCTGAATAATTTCCATTAATATAATTTTATATTTAGCTTAAAAAATTGTTGATCCATATTTGCTTTTAAATAATATTTTTTCTCACCAAACGTAACTAACTGCTCCAATTTCAAAGTATGTTCATATATTGTAACAGCCGTTTACTTCGTGCTGACCCAAGAGCAGAGCCTCGAGTAGGAGAAAGAGTCCCATATGTAATAGTGTATGGTTTTCCGGGCCTTCCACTGATTCAGCTTGTTAAGCAACCACAGGAAGTTATCTATGACCCAGGAATGAAAATCAATGCTCAGTACTACATAAGCAGAAGTATCATTCCACCACTGGAAAGGATATTTTCTTTGATGGGAGTCAATGTTGTAACATGGTAATTATTTCAGTTTGATGTTGTTATTGATCAAAATATGTTAGATTTACTGATATAATAATATTAGGGAGCTTTCTGTTTTGGTATGATATTATCAGAAATATTATTACATCAAGCTTTAAACTATATATCTATAGCTGATAGCAAGTCACCTTGTCACAGTTGTAATTAACACTGTTAACCAAAACCATCTACTTCAAACACAATTGATAGAAGTGTTTCCATATTTGCCGCAGTAGAAAAAGTATTTCATTTATCCACAGTGGTTTTGTTTTGGTACAGGCTTAAATTTGTTTGTTTGTTTGTAATTAAGCACAAAGCTACACGATGGGCTATCTGTG